GGGGAGTTGGTTGGTAAGTGAAACTTGCTAACATGCGAGTTTACTTTGTTGCTAATGTTAGGTTAAAACTGCCCTTGTGGAATTGCATCTCAAATCCAATGAAAATTCAGGTTTCTGCATTTCAATAGAATACTTTCCGACGTAATGGTTGATGTTGTTAGATAAATGATTTCCTTCTTTTAAATTACAATTCCCAACATTTGAGATTAATTTCATGGTCTCAAGCTGCAACTGAAAAAAGCCAAATCATGCTCTCCTGCTGGTTTGTTCTGAAGAACCTCCTTCATGCTCTAATGAAACAACTTCTTTGTCTTTAGGGTAGAGTAATTGTTAGAATTAGGTTGGAGAAGAGAATGCTAGATTTTTCAAATTCAAAATTCATTATCTGTTGGTCATATATGTACTGGAGATTCTGTTGCATGTAACTGTCTGATGGGTCAAGTTTTTGGCTTTTGGAGGGATATGAGACTTGGAGTTGGAAACTGAAAAACGTAGATTTTTCTGTGTAATTTATTAGGGGAGAATATTGGTAGCTTTTTAAAGCTGTGATTCTACAAGTGATTGATCTTTGTTTACATGAATACCTCTAAATTTACAGGCGCTGTTGTGTTAAAGTTTGCTTTGTTCCACCCTGATTGGTCTGAAACACAAGAAGCAATTAAGATGCTGGATGTGAGATACAAAGATAAATGGAATGACATTACATCGTAAGATTCTTCATTGAACAATGTATTTGATGGTTCATCTCTTATTTTTAGATGTCCTTTGGGATCTTGCTTTCGTTTTGGTAGTGGAAAATGAAGTTTACTTGTGTTCCTTTACTGTATTTATTGTCAACAGCCTCTCCTCCCCCAGGCACATCTGTGAGATACTTCTTTCATTGTTTTCTGGATTTAGCTGGCTAAGCTCAATGTGAGACTAGTGTTTCTGTGTATAATGATTATGCTCTTCCTTTTATGAAGAAAGTAGGTTTTCTTCTTTGATGGACTGTGGGAGCAGAAGAGTTTTTTTCCCCACTAGAATTTGTGAGATAATTTGTCTGAAAAAGTTCTCTAGATTTATTCTCTTGGCCTTGTAGGACACACTTGCTGTACCAATTGACTGTCTCAGTTGCCGGAGATGTGAGTGAAACTACTAAAATGACGATTTTAATACCACCAATGGATGATGAAGATCAATTTGTTATTGATTCTACCTTCAGTAGCTTTTAGAACAAAGGGTAGCCCGGTGCACTAAGCTCTCGCTATGGCTATGCGGGGGAACCGGGGAAGGGACGGACCACAAGGGTCTATTGTATGCAGCCTTACCCTGCATTCCTGCAAGAGGTGGTTTCCACGGGTTGAACACCATGACCTCCTGGTCACATGGCAGCAACTTTACCGGTTATGCCAAAGCAACTTTACCTTGAGTAGCTTTTAGAATCTTACTGTTAATTCCCTTTCCTCTCTTTGATGGAACTTTTAATATCATCATTAGTTCATTACAATGCCTCCTTTGTCAGACTTGATTGCACGAGGAGCTACAGTCCATTTTTTGGGCAGAAAAGCAGTTCAGTTTCAAAGCATTATCATCCCAAGTAAGAGATACTTATCCTTGTCGCCTTTCAATGTACATCTGATTTGCCGAGTTGACTAAGGTCTAATTTTGGTTGGCCGCAAAAGAATGAACAGCTTTTGTTTCAAATTGCTAGTGGTGATTTAAACAGTATGCCCACTTATATTTCTATATATATATTAAACTGGTCCCGGGAACCGGAGGAGTTCCTTATGTCTTTCTCTTTGACTTATGAATCATTATAAAAGGTTTTTTTGTGGCGACATTTCTCTTTTGTTGCCAAAAGATTGACGCAGTTATGAGGTGTAGAGCCAGGAAGAATGACTAGTAATTAGCTAATTTGGCATGTAAAGGGTTCAAGTAGTTTGAAAGTTCTAGTTTAAGATATATATTCCTCAGACTTTTCTTTCTGCCATGTGTTTCTAGCATTCTAAAGGTAAAAACTCAACCTTTACAGTAATCTAATTAAAAAAAAAAAGGATAGTTGAAGTAACTTCAAATTTGGGTAAAGGTCACTGATTAACGCCTTAAGATTTGTCGTACGCATGCCTCCAACTTCTGTGTATCTGAAGTAACTTCACATTGTTTGATTCTTGTATCTTATTTCATTATCTACTGTTCCAGAGATAACTTTGAAGAAGTTATTTTTCCAGAAGGGGATCCAGATGCAGTTTCCATAAGTAAGAGAGATGTTGATCTATTACAGCCTAAGAATTTTATCAATGATACCATCATCGACTTTTACATTATGTGAGTTTATATTACCTGTTTCAATTGGTACTGCCCCGCTAATTTGGTTTGGAATTAAATTTAGCTAATCTTTTTGGTTCCTTTTTCTTTCTTTCTTTATCTGGTTATTCATTTATGTGAACTTAGTTATTCCTGTAAGTATAAATATTGGCATGTGGTTCGTTATCAACATCTGGAAGTAGGATCTACTTTTGTTAACCACAAATAAAAGGAAACATTTAGTGGCTGTGTGACTCTTAGGTCAAATGTTTCTTCATTTTGTTTCAGCTTTTTAATCAGGACAGGTCAAAGTTTACTGCATGATGGACTCCTAATGATTTCATTGCATAGTAGTTGCATCTGAACCAGATTTGGTTATTGCTGTCATAATCCCTCCCTCCCTCCCGATTATAAATATTTGTAATCTCTTACAGGCAACATGAGTCAACCACCTTCATTTGCAGTATATAGGCTCCATGTAAATGAATATCAGGTCCTCTGTGTAATCCCAGTTCATGCTGTTCACAGCATACATGAGTTTCTTTTAAGGCTCAATACACAGATAAAGTTCAATCTTTAAAGTTTGATAGTTCGCTTGTTATAACACCTCAGCATGTTGTAGAGTACCAGGGCCTGAGAACAAATTAACCCTGACAATACTAGGGTAGTTATTTATGGAGGATACTGTATGTTACTTTTATAATTTTATTACCTTATATGTGTCTAGATCGTTATCTAAGGGTATAGTATTTCAAAACTCCTATCGGTTGGTTTCCTTATTTTCTATAGATTATACCATCTCCAGATGTTGCTCAAGTGTTGTGTAAACTAAACGTTTATATATATATATAGATATATGGATATAGAGACAGTTTGTTCGAACGTTTTACATATGAAAGTAAGCTGGAGATCTACCCAGAATATTTTCTTCTGGTCTATGATTGTACTGTTTTGCATTATTGCTCTGAAAGAGACATACAAAAATCCATCTAAAAAATGACATTCAAAAGCGTAAAACCACAAATTTCAACATTTCAAAGATGTTTCATTCATTTTTTCTGAAGTTCTGTACTTGTTGTCTACTGCTTGACACTGTGAAAGAAGGAAAACTCGATTGATGAAATGAATTGCAGGTATCTTAGGAACAAAATCAATCCAGAGGAGAAAGATAGGTTCCATTTTTTCAATAGCTTTTTCTTCAGAAAGCTTGCTGATCTGGACAAAGATCCTACTAGAGCTTGTGAAGGTAGAGCTGCTTTCCAGCGAGTTCGTAGATGGACTACAAAAGTTAATCTTTTTGGAAAGGATTACATTTTTATTCCCGTCAACTTCAGGTTAGAAGCTGTTATAGAGCCATCTTATATGTTAAAACTTTTATGGTACAGCTCTCCACTATGATTTTTTTTCTTGTGACAGTCTCCACTGGAGTTTGATAGTCATCTGTCACCCTGGCGAGGTTGTTACCTTTAGAGGTATATCAGATGACTTATCTGTTTCTGTTTCTAGTTATTATGACTCTTCATAACTGGAGGTAAGTTTTTAGGAGAGGAAGAAATGAAGAAATCATCTAGGGTACCATGTATCTTGCACATGGACTCAATCAGAGGGAGCCACAAAGGCCTGAAGAATCTTTTACAAAGGTATAATCCGTTTGAGTTGCTTTGACTCACAAGGTTGAGTAGTTATTGGTTGAGTCGCAATCATGTAAAATAAATTAACTCTGTTCGTATATTATATGAGGTACATCTGTACCAATAGTCTAGTGATAGCATTTGGTCATTCACCATGCAAGTGAGCATATTGCAAACAATGATATATATGAGATCTCTTTACAAGGTAGTGTGTCTGTATTAGTGAAATTCATTTAGGTTTCACTATGAACGACTAAGATTGTTTCTTGATTATAATGGAAAGAGAGAATGTTTCATGTCTTGTAAGTGCAGTTACTTATTGGAAGAGTGGAAAGAGAGGCACAAGGAAGTATCAGAGGATGTTGCAAGGAAGTTCTCGAATCTGCCCTTTTTCAGTCTCAAGGTATCACTCCATTCCGATCTCTCTATCGTGCATTGAAAATGCTTTTTCCTTCAATAAGACGTATTCCTTTAATCGACAAAAGGAGAAGTTTTGGTTATTGTCAACAAAAGCAATGGCTATCTTTTTTAAAATCTATTTATTGCACATATAGAATGAACACTGATTATATGCTGTTTATATGTTAATAATTACAGTTATATTATCATCTTCAACCTCTAAATTTGACTCTCTAATAAATCACTGTTTTGGGAAAGTAAAAATTTATTAGTTGCAACCTGCTTATTAGTTATTAAACTCCTTCACTTATTAACAGGAAGCTTAATATTTTAATCATTCATGAGTACATTTTTTGTAGGACCCCCTTTTTAAAAAAAAATGTTAACAGTTGTATATATAGCAACACCAAGAGAGTGCTGCAAGCCGTATTTACAATGCCAGAAGTCCAAAAACAAAATTATGCCCTTTTTCTTCTGAGAAGGATTTTTTTGTCGGACTTGTTATAGAAGTAATATAAATATATGTTGTATTATTTGGGAGTTTAACTTTTCAATAGAATATAAAATATATTATAATTTTGTTTCTGATAATTAATAATTTGTAGAGGTTTTCTTAAAAAAAGAACTATTCATTGTGAAGAGGTAGGGGCCGGCCTAAGAAGTATTGGGGAGAGGTGATCAGGCAGGACATGACGCGGCTTCAGATTTTCGAGGACATGACCCTTGATGGGAAACTGTGGAGGTCGAGTATTAGGGTTGTAGGGTAGGGCCGTAACTATGTGAGGCTAGTCTGATAGGATTTTTATCTTAGACTGCTAGTGGTTAATGTTGTGTTCTAACTACTCTTTCGTTTTATAGTGTCGGGTCTATTTACTGGTTATTGCTATTATTTTCATCTATTTTCCGGCTTTTATGTTGTTATTATTCCTTTGGTTTCTGTTGATGGTACTGATATATATTATTTCTTCTTGTTTTCTTGAGCCGAGGGTCTTTCGGAAACAACCTCTCTATTTCCTCGGGATAGGAGTAAGGCCTACATACACATTATCCTCCCCAGACCCCACTAATGGGATTTTACTGGGTCGTCGTTATTGTTGTCATTGTGATGTATTAAGTAGATATGGGTAGAAGGTAAATGAGATGTTTTTTCTCTTGGAGTAGCTAAACTTGATTTGTAATTTCATTACTTGGTGATTAATATAATGTTTAGTTACCCAAAAGAAGTAGATTGGCTGTAACAACCTAAGTTGCTCGGACACGGGTGCGGATCTAGAGGTCGGATCCTTCGAAATGTAAATTCTAAGATTCGGCGATACAGATCCTAATACGGATACGGGTGCGGGGATACGGCTAAAAATAATTCAAAAAAATAAAAATATCTCTAAATTATGAGAAATTTTGTGGAATACTTATGCATAGCTTGTACAGTGTGGATTTTCTTTTTTATTCTCAAGTTGTAGATAAGTCAAGGATTGATTTCGTTGATAAGGTATGCTATTTTCTTCAAATTTACCCTAGTTTTGGTTCTGATTTCGAGAATCAAATTGTATCTCGTCTCAGAATGTACCTGAATTTTATTGAATCATGTGAACTTAGCTAAAACCAGAACATAGTGAAACAAAAGGGTCTACACAGTTGATACCAGCTAGTTGGATTAAAGGTTAGTTGTTGATACACTTACATTCGATTCAACTGGGGATAAGTGTGAGATCTAGACCATCTTCTTATAGGAACCTCCAATTTGCCTTGTTAGATTGTACTCCATTGGTTGAGGGAATGGATTGTTTTCTCCTAGATCAAACCTCATCTCATGAGCTAGCTTTAAGGGTTGGACTAGACCCAAATCCCAATATTCATTTTCTTAACATGGTATTAGAGCCAAACCTAATCTTATTCTCGGTTCACTTAATGTTGGTCCCCTATGTTATATTGTCTACAGTACACTCCAGATGTCCAGTCCTGAGCGTATCAAGGTTGTTAGAGTGTCCCACGTTTGCTGAGGGAGTAGATTGTTGTCTTCTTATATTGTCTTGACAATCCTCACCTCACGGGCTAGCTTTTAGGGTTAAACCCAGTGTCCATTTTCTTAACGGTCTCGAACAATAAATTGTGTACTAATATTGCAAAGACATAGGTCTGAATACATCATAGGGATCCTTATTTTGAAAAAAGGACAGCATTGAGATACAAAGGATTCATATAGAGGACTAGGATGGGATTAAGGCATATTTGTTACTCAAAATTCATATTTAGAATAGGGGAAGTTTTTGTAACAGTCAAAACCACAGATTAGAAGTGCGATGGAAAGAACTTTTAATTCTTGACTGGACAGTAAATTTATTTTGGGACATGGGAAGAAGTAAGTAACCTAAAACTCTTGAGATTATGAGAGACTATCAACTTGTAAGATGCTAATTGCGACACAAAGCACCCTGATTTGCTGTTGAGCCCATCTATTCAAGCCTTGGTGGATGGGATTACCTTGGCTACCTGTGCTTGTGGTGGGGTAGACAGACTATCCCCTGGATCAGTTGAGGTATGTGCAAGCTAGCCCGGCCACCAAGTATAACACACTTCCCCTCCAAAAAAAAAAAAAAAGAAAAAAAAACTAGACCGATTTCCTTATGTGGAATAATTCTTTTGTTCAGTATAAATATCTTGTTTTCAGTACAATGTACCTGATAGTACTTTATATTACTTTATCCTTGATTTAACTACTCTTTATAAGTCACCTACTTAGTTGTTTAATATTTTTTGAATCATATTCAAAATCTCCAACGTAATCATCTGCCTGCACTTTTTTCTTTAATCTCCACTGCAAGCACTTGGGCCTTATAAAGTGCAGCTGATGGAGGAAAATACAATTGGTTTTTTAAATCTGCATCTGTTACATTAAGAATTGTGATTTTTCAAATTTCAAATCCTCATGCCTGCTGAATGCTACAGTTTTGCAGATTGATTTTGTCTTTATGTACTATTTGAGAAAAATAAACTCAATCTTTGGTACCATTGGATAAGCAATCATCTCTTTCTTCTACTACGATATGCCCCATTGCATTTTCACTGCAGAACTGAAATTAGCCTTTTATATCCTTAGTTCATCCAGCAAAGTCGTTAGTTGAGAACTTTGCATACTCCTGACATATTTTTGTTTACTAATTTAGCATTTTTCTGCTTTTTTCAATTGCATGCTAGAGCACCAAGCTCTTCCACTACTTATAAGTTATACCATATAAAGTTAAGCATTTATCACTAGAATACTTGTAAATTTGGGGTTTTTGTGGTATCTTGGACAGTTTTATTGACCCTTTGGTTAGAATTGGAATTGCTCCGCTCTACTTCTCCAACTGCCCTTGCCTCCTCAAATTATACAAAAAGGGGGAAAAGGAAAAAGAATAAGGCAAGCATACACTTAAATAAACCAAAGGGAGAAGAAAGAATCCCACTACTTTTAGAGGACAATTCAATTGAGTATAGTGAGTCGGCACCTGACTAAGGAAAAATACATTTAAATAAACCAAAGGGAGAAGAAAGAATCCCACTAATGATGTACTACAGGAAGAGTTACAACTTTTAATGTTACTCAGTGACCACATTCTTTTGCAAATGGGTTTTTATCAAATGTCTACTGTAAAGTTTTCTGCAGTATAGATTCTTTTTCCTATTTGGTCTCTTTCATAGACTTGGAGTTAATTTTGGTGATTGCAACATGCATGCATACTGCTTGAAACATATTTTTGGAAACTAAAAATTGCAGTAAACAATCATAACAAATATCTTGTTACTGTCTTTTATAGTAAAACATCTTACACCCCAACACCTTTATTTTTTGCTTCCAGCTGCCACAGCAGGAAAACTCATTTGATTGTGGCCTTTTTCTGCTACATTATGTGGAACTTTTTCTGGAGCAGGCTCCGGTCAACTTCAACCTCTCCAAAACAACTACATCGTCCAAATTTGTAAGCTGTTTCGTCCTTGTTATATCCTTTTGAATTGAACCGGGGGTTATCATTTTATATATGTTGGGGGCGTTAGGTGATGGATATCTTGGACTTTAGAGAAGCTTTTGCACTTCATCCACGCCATCTCTCATTAAGTCGACAAGGTCATTTTGTCTATGAATGCTTGCTTTTCAGGGTTTCCTGCTATTATTCCTCATGCATTGAATTCTTTTCTCAAATACTTCTCAAAATTTCCTATTGTGACTAATTCGTTTATCTTTGTTTCTAGAGCTGCTCCAGGGTTTTGATTAATTGGTACTAGTCCGTCTTAATAGATTGAGAATATCTTTCTCTTTTCTGGTATGCATGCTGATTAAAGGGGAATGTATACAATTTTCTTGAGGCTTAGGTAGTATAAGGGGTAGAATGAGAGGAAGAGCTTGAGGATATAGGAATTTGGAATTTGACGAATAGTGCATCTTAGTAGTACATGATACGGTAAAAGTTCAAAAAGCAGTCTCCCAAGTTTACCTACATGCTCTTCTGGATGCACAAAGAAGAAATGGTAATATTCCACAGAGGACTCAGGATAGAGAAATTCACTTATGGAGAAGTTGGAACCAGACTAGCAAACAAGGCTTCACATTGAGCTGCCAAAGTGATGCAATGTGGATAAATTTTGGGGTGTGTTTGGTACGAAAGAAAATGTTTTCTATGGAAAATGTTTTCCTAGAATATTCATGGAAAATGAGTAGTTTTATCACTTATTTTCCCTTGTTTGGTTGGTGAGTGGAAAACTTTTTCCGGAAAATATTTTTTAGTGTTTGATTAGAAAGTAGAAAATATTTTTTTATGCTACTCTCCTCACCTCCCTTCCCCCAAGCCCACATGGTTCCTTGCCCCCCTCCTCCCTCCCCACAAATACCCAATGTTTCCAGGACTCTATTTTCTTTAAGAATTTAATTATTCTTCTGAAAATTCACACAAACCTAAAGGAACTAATGCGCTGGCTTTACCTTTTTACGCAAAAAACAACGTTGAAATTTGCTCCATAATTAAAAAGAAAATGCTCTTTTTTGGTTGAAAAAGAAAGTACTCATTTAATTGAAATAAAAGAAAATACTTTTTGTACATCATGAAAAGAAAATACTATTTTGTTAAATGAAAAAAAAAAAATCTTTTTCTACATCATTAAAAGAAAATACTCTTTTTGTTGAAATGAAAGAAACTACTTTTTACTACATCATTTTGTTGAAATGAATGAAAATATTTTTTCTACATCATGAAAAGAAAGTACTTTTTTTTTTGTTAAAATGAAAAAAATACTTTTTTATATCATAAAGAAAATTTTCATTTGTTGAAATGAAAAAAAAATCTATCTATAACATGAAAAGAAAGTACTATTAAGAATATTTTTATTTTAGTTAGGGTGGGGGTTTGCCGAGGGTCTATCGGAAACAACCTCTCTGCTCTATCGGGGTAGGGGTAAGGTTTGCGTACACACTACCCTCCCCAGATCCCACTTAGTGGGACTTTACTGGGCTGTTGTTGTTGTTGTAGTTAGGGT